GTCAAGCGTGGGGAAGTTGGGGGAGAGAATCAGATGCTTTTATTTAGATAGAAAAGGTTTTTCTTTTCTTCTTGTTTTGGAGTGGATTTGTAAATTTGCAGTGTTCTGGTTCTTTCCCTGTTACTCATGGATGACATGATCAATGGATTTTAAGTGAACATCTATAATGTTTGAAGTAAAACATTTACAGGTTTGGTTTTGATATACATATTTGATGGGTTGCACAAATACCACGTCTAGTTGTCCAGCATATTTCATCTTTTACTCTCTCTGTTTCAACATTTCAGATTTAAAGTAATGACACAGACATACCCACTCCCTTGATCTTTTTTCTATTTTCGCTAGGAGAAATAAATATACAAGTGGGGACTACAAATCCTGGCTCTTCTTGCAACTATGCCTATAAGAAGATCCATCTGGTCCCCTTCAACTGTAACTTGTTCCTTTTATTTCACAGAATTAACTCTTCGGCATTTTTATATCTGTATTATCTATATATTTTCATGGATAAATTACAAACTCCTTTTTGGATTGAGAAAATAATTATGCTTTGCTTTCATTAAACATTTAATGTTTAGGATGATTGATGTGTGACCATGGTCTGCACAGTCAGAATGATTAATATAATGAGTCCTACTTCCTGTTTCAGGGAAAATTCAAGCTTCAGAAAAGTTTGCCCAGAATGACAATTTTTGCACCTTATGTGAGGAATATGCTACTGAGGCACTTGATTATCTTTCTAAGAACGAGACCAAGACTGAGGTCCTTGAAATACTTTACACAACTTGTTCTCGTTTACCCCCTTTTAAGGTGGAGGTATGTAACAAGTTTAGCATATAATGGGTTGTTGAATTTTCAAAATTGAAGTTTGGAAGCAGAAAAGATTTAGCCTTCAACTTCACAACAGTGTCCCCATTCCCCTTCCAAAATAAATAAGGGACTGGAGGGTCTTCCCCTTTCTCTTTGTGTATTGGTTGTTTGTTGTCTTTTCATGTTCTCACTTTTTTTGTTCTCTATCATGCATAGACACAGCCTTGTAATATGTAGTTTTCAGGTGGTTTTGATGGTAGACATTTCACTTTTAATGTATTTAGTTAAAAGAACCGATGAAGGGCAATCCAACCTTCCATTTAAGTGTTCTCCTTGCAACGTGATTAGTAGGGTGTCCACTTTGAAACCATGTTCTTTTAACATGTTGATTGATTCATACTTGGGGGTGGGGTGGAGAGGGGATGACATGTCATGTTAATGGCAGCACTGCCCCATCTAAATCAGTTAGAGGGCCAATATCTTGACAGAAGTCTGTCATACTACTGGAAATAGGTATCACCATGTAGTTTATGTGGTAAGGGTATGTGAAAATGTTAGGGTACCCACTGCAACTCATCACTGGGGCTGAAAAATAAGTCACATGGAAACTTGTGAAATACTTTCTTGTCTAGAAGCTCATAGTTTGTTTATATTGTATATTTATTTTCCTGTCTCCTCAAAAGTTGAAACTCTAATTGCCTTAATGATTTTCATGGGCAGTGCATTCACTTGGTGGACTACTATGTTACTCTCTTCTACACAGAACTCTCCTCCATACAGCCTGAACAACTCTGCAAAGCTCTCAACCTCTGTGAAAACATGGTACTTATTTCTTCACAATTCCATGAGGACAGTTGCAGCATGTGCCACCATGCTGTTTCTGAATTAGAAACCAAGCTGCAGGACCCTGACACCCAGGTTTGCTGTTTTTACCATCAGCTAAATAAATTTATGATGCCACTACTGTCAAATGTTTGCTTATTCTCTCTTCCACTTGTGACCTTCACCTTACCTTGTATCCTGAATTGGATATAGGCATAGGATTCATTTCTTCTGGGAGTCGGTTATTTTGGAGAATTGGATATTAGTATATACCATCAACATACCGAATGGAATTTCCACTTTGTCTGATATTGTGTAACATCCACTTTTCCCTTTCTTGTTAACTTCTCCAAACATCCAATTTTTCATGTTTGTCATATATGATAGATTCTTAGGTGCTTTTTCCCATCTCATTTCTGCCTTGCATATATATATTTTTTCTTTCTGCTTTTATTTTGTTTGCTATTCTCTTTTGCTTTTCTTTTGCTTGAAACCACACAATCCTGTACTTATGCTTAAGCCTAACTGGCCCTGACAGCTGCTAAATGGTCCATATAGGGTAAGATCATATTTTTTGCCATCCATCTATTTTGAGTTGCATGGCTAAGACTGTTGAATATTCATTGCTGTTTTCAAAAATATAATTGATGCTCAACAACACATGATGGGGCTGCCCTGGATGGGGAGAGAAGGAAAATGGGTTAGGTGGAATGTAGTACAGTGATTCATCTTAGTTATCCTTTATAATTTGGGTTCATATTGACCGTGAAGATTTTTTTAGATTAATAGGACTTATGTAAGGATCTACTTTTTCTATATACCATAAAACTGTTCTGCTGATTAATCACTCTCTATCTTTGATGCCACAGCTAGAGATAATTGAGCTGCTCTTAAAGGCATGTGATTCCATACAGAACTTTGCGAAAAAGGTAAGGAGAATGTTTAGAACTGCAAATATAAAAACTACCTGCAGAAGGAAATTAGTATTAAATTAAATCAAAGATATATTTTCATGATCAATGATTGAATGTCTAACATCCATAATTGCATGCGCAGATCTGATTGACTTTTAATTTTCTGTGCATGCTAAATATTCAGATAGGCATGTTTTCATTTCCGGAATTCTAATAGTCATATAAATTAGTGAAGAAGGAATTTCCATTAGGAGAATTGATCCTTTTCTGCCAAATTAGCTGCTTTTTGATGGACTTCTTGCTATCGTTATTTGATCCTATACTATGTCATAATTCGTTGGCAGTGTAAGAGAATGGTGTTTGAGTATGGACCTATGATTCTTGCAAATGCGGAGCAATTTCTTGAGACAAACGACATCTGCACGATGCTTCGTGCCTGTAATGGATCTAACAAAGCATCACTGGCAGGCTCATAATTTTAGCATCAAGCGTTTGTAGCATTGTTGTTGTATCTACACTTGGATTTTCTGGTGTGAATATCTATGAAATTTGTAAACTTCTGCTGTAAGATATAGTTCGCTTCAATTTGATTACTTCAAGTTTATGCAATCTGATGGCCAATAAAAGGTTTATGCCTCTTTGCATGCATGTTTGGAATGTGCTGGAATATGTCATTAACAAGACCTTAATCAATCAACTATTCCTGCAATGGGCAAATGCTCCCTTGCATTTGATGAGTGCATATTTCACTCGCTGAAACCATAAATGTTAACAGACAACGGTGCGGTGTCACTGCAGATTTTGGCTTCAGTTTTCTGAATCTATTTCAGACCCACAATTGAAAATCTGAAAGTGGAAATGGTTATGAAGATTTTGCAATAAGAAACTGACCACCAACATGTTGCCAGTGCTACCTATATGGACAAATCTCTTCAATCGACTGGAGATTACAACCTGGCCTACCAGGTGGATTTTTCTACTTGATTTTTGAGAGATCATTCCCAGTTGTAATCTTTCTTTATCAAACCCGTATGACGAGTCTGGGGGTGTGTAAATTAAGAGAGAATTTGAAAGTGTATGGTACTTGAAGAGTGAGACTGACATTCTGTAATTCTTCAAGAGGGAGTTTGAGTCGGACCTTCTGTGGAAAGGGGACTGTGGCTAGTCTAAAACTTTTCTCTCACGCAAAGTTGGCATGACAGTGAGGCGATCTAGTAGCTAAAAATGCTCAATAAAGTAACCTTAATACTTTACTAGTTTCGCTAATGCCTTTTAAAAAGATTAGTCTTATAATTTTTAATTGTGATTGGATTCTTTTCACTTTAATTAACTCATTTATTAAAAATATATTTTTTTTTACAATTAGTGTTACAAGTAGCTTCTCCTTCTAAGGTGCATACACCTTAAATGTATAATTGTTATTTGATTAATAATATAATCTTGACCTTTCCAATAAAATAAAAAGGAAACATGCCTTTAAAGAGTGAAACTTTGTAGGTTGGGAAATGCCTTGTGAGAGAGAGTGTTGAGGGAAACACTTTATAAAGTTTCTAAGATTGTAGTTTTAAGTTATTGGTTCAATTTGTATATATATATAACATGGAAATTCAAATCATTGGAGTGGATTAAGTTATTATTATTTAGAGTGGATAAAAAAAAATCCTTAACGTGCTAAGATGTAGCAAAATAGAGGGTGTAGGTGTCGGCTGGTAATTCAGCCAAATCTCTATTCGATGTGCAAATCATTCTTATCCTTCCTTCATGGTTTTAACTTATAGAGTGTGAAGAAAGGGAAAATTTGGTTGAATCTAAATTCACCATTCACCATTTACCATTCATGGATTCACTTTGAACGGGTTGAATCGACCAATCCAGAGGATGCACGTGACATGGATTCACTTTGGTCAACCAAATGCTTGTTCTCCCTTGTATACCAAAACTTCCTCAATCAATTCTCAAAAGGTCATGGTTTGTTGTGGTTGTTTGGTGTGTTGGATAGAAATTAATTTTCCTCTACTCAAAATTCTCATGTACATCTCGACATTACAAATTCTCATGTCCTCTTTTTTTGTTTTTTTTTTTTGGTTAATGTTTAAATTTTTTATTTAATTAAATCACATTAGCACTCAACTATTCAACTATATTTGTCAATTACTTTGTCCACAAATATCAAGAAAAGTTTTACTCAATAATTGCCAATGTGACATAGTTTGGCCTAGCTTTTACACAATATACATTTATTGATTTTTTAGTTGTTATTATTATCACATATTATATATTGTTAAGATTACCTAAATTTTAATATTTTTATAATATATAACTAGTTATATATTTGAAATTATTATTGTATAGATTACTTTAATATATTCAATAATAAATATTAATTATTATTTATCTATTAATAATTATATTTATTAACTATTTTTAATAATAAAATAAAAATATAATATTTAAAATTTTATATAGTGCTAACACTTTGTTACATGTCCATAAACGTGTTGACCAAAAGTCATCGAGAAGAGTTGACATGTCGATGGAAAGTGGAAACCATTTGATTCCGAACTCCAGTAGTTGGGGACTTCCGCGTGATATTTTTGAAGCTAAGATTTCACAAAAATTAGATAGAAGAATTTAGAGTAGAGCGGACATTCAAATCTCACCTACTATTCAAATTTCAAAATGCGAAGTACAATTGAAACTTTACATAAAGGAGATTGGTGTGCAGCCTTTGTCCAACCATTTTCATTCATGATTCTTGGATACCATTGCCAGGAAGGAGTTCCGAATTACGTACCAAATTTTGCTTGAGAAAAAAAGAAATAGAGTAAGACTTAATTTTATTGGGTGATTCTGTCAACTAAATAAAAAATGTCTAGAAAAGTTAGTAACAAAAAGTTACTCAAGATAACTATCATTCTCTTGCAGATTAGGCATCATTAGGTTTTAACCATAGATACCAACTTATTAAATAAAAAATTTCATCAATCACTTAACCTATTGTGATTTAAAAATTAAAATTTTTACCGAAAATGCATTTCATGGTAGTTTCATTTAAGTTGCTAAAAGCTACTTCCAAAACTTTATAAACGAAACCTAGATATATGTGGACTTTTTGTGTTAAAATTTACGGTATGTTTAATTTTTTTTTTTAAAAAAAAAAGGGAAAAGGAAAAGAAAAGAAAGTAGGAAAGAGGAAATCGATAAAATTTTCTTCTTTTAAATAACAGAAATTGAACGGGATGGTAGGAGAGGAGTTTTACTTTATTTTTTTTTTACAAATTTAATATAACTAAAGCGACAGAAAAGAGGACCCCTTCTTTTTTTCCTTTTTTCTTTTTCTGCTTCAAATTAAATAGAAATAAATGTTTGACAATATTATAATTATAATAATATATAAAATTATAAATTTATAATTATAATTTAATATTAAATAAATATAATATATTATTAAATAAATATATACAAATAATATAATGAATGGATCTTTAATTTAAAAAAAATTAATTTTATAATAATATATTATATTAATTTTATAATATTATATCATATTATAACTGTATTATTTTCATAAATATTTTGATTTATTTCATTATTTCTAATTTAAAATTTTTAAGTTCATAGATTGAAAGTTGATAATTAGAATTTAAGACAGGAACAATGCATATTGGAACAGCCTATTAAAAAATTTGAGTCCAAAGACTCAAATCTATATGTCGTCAAGTGAAAAATGACTAAAATAATCCATTTAATAAAAGGGTTAAAGCCAATTATCATTCGTCTACTTTTAACTTTTGTTTGTCTGTCCTCTTGGCAAGGATTTGTTGCATATTGTCTCCCTACTTTCTAAAAAACACTAAATTCGGCCCTTTACTCTCCTTATTTTGTTCAACATAATCTTTTTCTGGGCACCTTCAGGGGTGGCTGCTACCATTGCATTTTTTTTTTTTTAAAATAAATTCACAAAAGATTGAATTCAAATTGTTATCCTGAAAAAAAAAAAAAGCACTTATATGTAATATGATGTTACTGACGAAATCCTAAGTGCGCTACCATTGCATCTTAAACCATACATATCATCATAGTTCAAATTCTTATAATGTAATTTATTTCTTTTTTTCTTTTCCATGTTTAAAATATATATATATATATATATACCTTTTCTGGAAGGTGTTACTTAAACCGTCTGCTTGTGCCGTTAAATCTGCAACAGTAAACCATTAGAACATTTCTTTATTTTTCTTTTTCACGTGTGTTGCCAACTGGGGACCAATGGGGTCAACATGCCTGATAATTGAAGAAAAAAAAATGCTAAAATAAACCTCTTGGACGTTTTTTATAACCATAACATAAAATTGGAAGTTTTGAAAAATGACCAACCTGCATAGGGGTACCTGTCTTTAGCATCCGGAGACAACAAAGACATAAACCAAAATTATTGGAAGTCAAACCCCACAGTCCACATGGACAAAATTAAAGAACAATGTCTCGGTTGTTTTCAATAATATAGAGATAACTTTATACAAAAAACTGTTTTATAATTTGTCTGGTAATAAATGGTAAAATTAAAATTATTATTAAAAAACCCCTTAATATTGAACTTTTTATTTCCTCCTTTAATAATCTTAATTTTACAATTTATCATAGAATAGATCATAAAACATGACATTCATTTTTATATATAAATTTTTATATATTATTAAATAAATATATATTTTTTAAATAAGTTACAATCAAATCTATCATATTAAAAAAAAAAAAAAAAGGAATTACTGAAGATTTAAACATTTAACTGGAAGTATGTTCACACTAAAGCCAAGCGGAAACCCATTCGGCCCATCCGTACGTAACAAATAAATAAATATATTTAATAGTATAAATATTAAATAAATTAATTAATTAATCATTTAAATAAACATAAAAGTATATCAAAAAATAATATAAAAAATTGTTTTTAATTATTTTTTTTACGCGCAGACCAAATAAGGAAAAGGATATCAGTTCAACACCGACCATGTCAAATGACAGAAATAGCGTCACGGGTTCATTTGTTTGAAGGTTAATATCGTACTTGCATCGACTAAAAATCTGCAACGTGGCACCCGCCGAGATCTCTAGAATTACTGCACGTGACGTGGGCCGAGAGGTGTCGACTTGCGTGTCAGCATTCTAGTGATTACATTACAGTGTATGGCGGTTACGTCGATAATATAAAAATAATTTTTTGATAAATTTTTATAAAATTTGTATGTATTATTAAATAAATAATTATATTTAAGTTAAAACTTTAATTTGATCTTAAGAACTTTTTATTTGGTTCATAAATTGAAAAATTTATGATTTGTTTTTTAAATTATTGTAAAGATTTTTTATTTGGTCTTACTGTTTACTAATTTAATTTTAAATTGATTTTTTTATGTAAAAAATAATTAATATATTTGTAATTTAATGACAAAAAAAGTAATTAACATTTACGTGTCACGTTAATAATGAGACATATTAATTATTTTTTATACAAAAAGATTAACTTAAAGTAAATTAATAAATAGTATGACTAAATTAAAAATCTATATAATAATTTAGAAACCAAATTAAAGATTTAACCTTATGTTTACTATTATAAATTTTAAATAAATAAATAAAATTAATAATTTAAATAATACATCAAAATTATATAAAAATAATATAAAAAATTCTCTCTAAATTATTTTTGGTTAGTTACTGATCTGACTGTGTTCGAGGTATTGACTGGACGCACAGTCCCCGAGGAAGGTCGCGCCCGTGGGCGATATACCCCGGGGGAAATGATATTTTTATTTTGACGTGTCAATTCCTGATTTGTATGGGTTGTTCATTGGATTTTCTTGGTCGTTAGTGTAAGCGCAGCCAAATTTGAACTGGAAGAGGTAAAGAGAAACACGTGAAACAGCTGTCACAATTTGCCTAATTTGATCGGGACAAGGATTGATCCAAGAAAGGGGAGGGTCATGCTAGTTGCCCATGGTGTTAAAAGCTGTCAAAATTTTGTAAAATATAATTTTAAAAATATTAATATATTGATATTTTTAAATATTACTTAAAAATTAAAAAATTAAGGACATTAATATTTTTTTATAGTGATAATAACCACACTCAAAAACTCAATCCAAGTTTTATCAAAAAAAAAAAAAAAAAA